TTGTAGGTCAAAGAAGATAAGCAGGGCATTAAGTCTATTCTAATATATTCTAGTTCCCTCTTGCTGCCTGCAAGGCTTGAATGTATATTGTATAACCTGTCCGGTCTTATTTTTCAATGTCACTGTCTTTCTCTTGCTGACTTCTCATTATAAAATGCTTTAAAGTGCCTCTATAAAGGAGCACACAAAGACAGTTAGTGAACTAAGCTACTGTTCAACTGTAAATCTTATGTAAGGGTTTAACAGAACCCTATTGTTTACGCAGTGAATCATTCTGCTTCAGCAATAGACTACTGTACACCAGGTTTTACTGCACGCTAGTTGTCTCGACAGGCGTCTTTCTGTCTAGGCCGGGGTGACAATAATCAGTGCATTTAATATATTTTATGTAACTGTTTGCCAGAGGGAGAAAACAGACAGATGACACCACGGCAAAGCAGGAATTAAAGAGCACTGCATCTACAGTGGGGGAGCCACCCATTTCCTATTGAGTTTAATTCAACCCTTCCCATTGCTAACCGAGTTATGACAATCAGCACAGGGTGGAAATAGAGTTTGATCCAAAGCAGAGGTCTTGGTATTATAATGAAAGTGGCCTTGAAGCTCACAGAATTGAATTTTTTATTAGTAATATCTTGGGAAGAATAAAATTGAGGAGATACAATGTGTATGAATGTCTGGGACTACAGTATATTGGATTTCTGACATTTCTGACAACAGTTGATTCCAGATATACCAGATTTCTACAAGTGAACGCAGGCTTTCACATTATATGACGCATGAGTGGTCCTATGATTTGTGCGTTTCTAGGTTTATGTAATAAACTAAGCCAGTGAATTCTGTGTAAAAGGTCTGTGATGAAATTGATTCAGTGTCACGCTTGGACGCCAGGTTATCACACACCTTCCTGCCCCACAAACCTATTCAATCTCTTTCTATCATCCTCACTGCTGTGAGCCTGTTCCAGCGTCTCCGAGAGCAGCTTTCCATTTCTCGCTACACCACTGAGAAAGAGATTCAAGGTTAATTTAGTTCATTTAGTTACTAAAAGCAGCACATCGTCTTTGTATGGTAGCACAATGCTCTGTTTTATTTAATTTTCCTTCTCTCCTCTACTACCCTTGCCGTGGATGCACACACAAAGAGCCTTTCCACAGAAAGAGAGAAGCAAGCACATACAGGTATTTGCTATTCATTAGCGTACACAAAGGCCTCCGCAGCCTTGCAGCTACCTGTGAAAACAGGCCAGAGCTGATCAACAATGAAATCCAGTGCTCTTGGACGCTTCTGGCAGTTTTGCATTTCCAAATCAATATTTTACTTCCTCACTCTGAGTTCTGAGCCCACTTCAAAGCTGATGAAGTGTGCATTCAAACAAGTTGTCAGCAGTGACAAATACAGCGAGTAATCCAAGAAGGTTTTTAAGATTAACAGACTGTAAGTAAGTTAAATGACAACCCTGTGAAAAGGTAATTTAAGAAACTCAAAATAATGCAGAAAATTGCCACTTCTTCATATAAGCTCTAATTCTGAGAGGTTTATGTTTGTTTTGGCGTCCTGTGAATTTCCACTTCCTGTGAATAAACACACGCATTGAAAGATCGTGACCCCTTCTTTGGGACTGTGTAAAGTTTGCAATGAAACTGGGACACATTAGTGCCCAGCTAACTGGAGGTCTCTCCATTATTCACTGTCTCATCATCTCTGAGCCATTATGATAGTCTTGTGTACTCAGCGGCACTCATCTGATCGGGGCTGACAGACTCTCTCCACACCTCTTCACTTTCATTCCACTCTGCAGAAAAGGTCTGGCCAAGCTTGACTCTCCTCCCTGTCTTGAGTTCTTACAAATGCGGCCCATTGATTGGGGGTTGGGAGGTTAGTAAACTGCTACTTGGGTCTATTAGGAGGTAAATGATGGAAGCACTTTTTACTGCCTGGTGGCTACTGTGGACAGCCTGTAAGGGACTGTACGGAAGTTACAGGGGTGGGCAGGGGGGAAGAATCTTCCAGCACCCTCCTCAGTGTTATTATTATTTTCTTTGGAATCCCACCCTATCTCAATATATTACCAGAATAACCAATAGCCACTCACTCAGCCACTATTTTTGCATAAAGAGCTGCTAGAAAAAGATGGTGCTATAGCCTGATAACTATGAGACCAGAAATCAGATATCCCTCAAATCAATTACATGATGCCTGAGTCAAAACAAAAGCCATCTTTGTGGTATAACAAGAAAGAAGTAATCTGGAAAATGTGAGTTTATCCATGTTTGACCACATTTTTACAACAGTAATTGTAACAGTCTCTGTTTGAAGCTCAGTCGTGGCTTTTGTCAGTTGATTTTTGTTATCAACAATACTAAAGTATTACTAAAGTATTGTTATGGTTATTCTTCTTTCATCATCACCCGCTGACTTTCTTACACAGCCACCGCTATTATCTTAGCCAATGGTGTCAACTACACAGAGGCATTCAGTTTGCCGTGTTAAGTGGGATTCCACATACACATAATGCCCTCCTGGCTCCAAAAGTAATGAACACTTTTAGGCTCGCTGCATGACGTCTTGGTGTCATGTCAGCCTCTTTCATCACACTGCCCATTCCTCAAAGGATTAGACTACCGGGCTGTGTAAGACCCTGTCAAAATTAAACTCGTCCACCCCGCAGTGGGAACTAGAATGCTGTTTCACATCTCTACCATAATTAAAGGTTTGGAACAAAACATAGACTTCATTGTTCTGAATTATGCATCATGTACAGTATTCAATACATGGTCATTCATGGAGTACTCCACCAATTTTGTATAGTACTATAAAAATTGACTAAAAAAGGACTGTAAGGTCTGGATATTGGTATTTGTTAACACGTGTAGATGAATATCTGTATGTGTGTCTCAACAATTATGTGTAAATTATCTATGAATTGTTGTATGTTTTAATGTTTTTAATGTGATCTTTTGGGATTAGACATTGAGCTAAAAGATATTTAAATAAATCAAATCAAATCAAAATCTGGTGCCTACCTTACCCACAATGCAACTCGACTGCCAGCAAGCGGAGATTTGAGTGTGTTATGATAGTGTCTAATATATCCTCAAGCCTCAAGACTCAAGCAGAGATGAGGAGTGGGCTACAGATGTCTCACCTCTAACTCCACACCTCCAGGTTTTTTTCATTTTCAAACTTGTAGTACGTATAGTGTCAAAAGGCTTTGTACAACACTTTTCACATACGCAGTAGTCCCCCCCCAAAGACCTGTGAAGACTTTGATCTGCTGCGTTTCCTTTTAAGACGCGTAAATGTGCTTTGGTTTCGTTTCATCCGTCTCAGATTTGAATGATAAAATTGATCCACTTCGAGTTAGCCTCTGATACGAGGTTGATTTTGGTTTTTCGAAGGTTCTCCTCTCATTAAAGGCTTGCAGAGACCCAGTCAGCCCAAGCTGCAGCTTATCTGATCCAGACACCCGCCCTGCGTACCCTCCCAGTCTGATTGATAAAATCCAGCCCTCACCCTGCTTACCTGACACTTGTAAAGAGACTGCTGTCTGGATTCCATTTCTTTATTGATTATTTGGGGGTTATGCTGTGTTGTTCATCATTTATCCGTTGTGGTTTGCTTTAAATTCCATCATTTCGGTGTGGGAAGGGAAGTGGCCTTGGGTTGTGAGCGCATGCCTGTGTCTTTGTGTTTCTTCCACAAAAGCCAATGATAGTTTGATAAAGAAGGTCATTAAAGTGTCATTAGGCAGTGAGCTTTGAGGCGCCGGGCCCATGAAGATAAAACATGGGGCCACTCTGAGAGCTGGGAGGGGTGGGTACAGGGTTGGGATACGCAAGGAGATCCACAGAGAGACACTACAGCAGGCTAGACAAACCACACTCAAGAGATACCTCTCCTTTACCCATTCAGACCTCTTTCTTTGTTTCTTCCCCATCATTCTGCTTTTCTCTTCCTAACAGTCAATCCCGAAACCCCCTGTGTGCAACTAGAACTAGAACATCAGTGAAAGCTTCCTACCTCCTCATCCCTGTTCTACTATCACAATCTTTCACTGCCCACACAAACCATCGATTCGATACTCATACAGCTACTGCTCTGCAGCTCTCATATGAGCACTGTTTCTCCCTGACCATGAAGCCGCTGCCCTTGAAAGTAGCAAAACAGACATCTCCTGAAATCAATACAGCGTAATAAAAGATATGTTTGTTGTGTTTTCTAGAGGGCTGCTCACTATCACAAGTTCAAGCTTTTCCAGTAACCCCCAGCTCTCCAAAGCTAAAACAACTATGACACCTGGCATTGTAATGGAAATCCAGCCAGGACTCAGAATGACTAAGAGCAGCAATGATAGCGTGTAGCGCAGTCGATAACTGCTTGGCAGCACGGGCTGGGAGTCTTGACTCAATTTGTAAAAGCGAGCCGCTCTCGGGCTGCATGGGCGCTGAGGACAGTGTCTGAGAAAGCTGATCGCAGTACAAGTGCAGGGGGGTGCTTCTTTTTACGAAGCCCTAGAGTTTTAAAATGAGGAGGGCAAATGGATTTGAGGAGACATGAGTCATTTTACATTAGACGTTTCTGTCAATTAAAGGTAATCAGAGCTCTTGTTGTTCTATATATTAAAAGCTCTGTTCTGCCAGTTGGACTTATAAAACTATCTAGGTTATGATTTATTTTTATACATATAACAAAAGGCAACAAGTCATAAGTCTCTGTGCAAATGGAGGTACTTCAGTACTGATGAAGTATCTGAATTACTCACTTGACCCTGACTGTTTTCTGCAAACCCTCTACTGCCACCAAGTGGCTCTCACTTGGAATACCAATACAGCAGATAAATCTAGCCCTGGGAGTGTTAAAGGGTTGGTTTTATTTGATCTATGATAGAATAAACTTCAGAATAAACATGCAATGTGATTTTTCCTCCAACCGCCTATATGAATACAGTGTTCACTGTCTAACCCACTCTGTCTTCTTTCACTCTCTCTTCTCTGCAGTGTTCATCATGGCTGCTGGACTGCTGGTCTACCCCTTCGGCCTAAACTCCTCACTGGTCAGGTCCTTCTGCGGGGACTCTGACATCTACTACGCTGGCGAGTGCCAGATTGGCTGGGGCTACATGCTGGCTATTGTGGGAGTCATGCTCACCGTCTTCTTGCCCTTTTTTGCTAAATATGCACCGAAGGAGCAGCTGTCCCCCACCCCTTTGCCCACGCTGTTATAGTGCATTGATACGATGTCTTGTTTTTTTCCCTCCTGACCACTCTCTCTAACCTGGGCTTGATGTCATGGAGAGACACATGCATCCCGTTTTTTTAAAGGCGATGCTGTTTGGGAAGCCCCACTCAGTGATAAGTGAAGCTGACGCTCAACAACAAACACTGTCTTCCTGCATCTGTTATGTAATTAATTCAAATTCAGTTCATTTAAATGGAATGTTTTATGTTACAATGATACTCTGTGGTTATCATTTTTACCCTCAAATCTAACAGTTTTGTCAGTTCTAGAGATGATGCAGTCAGAAAATGCAAGGACTGATAACCTCATTTCACATGATTTAAAAAAAATGAACACGAACATAACAAGTGAGTAAGAAAATGTTTTTTTTCCTTCCTTTCAGTCAACATATGTAACATTCCAAAAGAGACTGGAAGTTGGCTGCATAAAGAGAGTGGAAGCATGAGATTATGTGGCAGTATGACTCGTCCAATCAAATAATGTTTCAGTAAGAGGTTTTCAAGAACATGCGACTCAACAGGAGAGCCCCTTCGAACGGTTGGAGATGGATGATATTAATGGATCCACGCGTCCCAGCTCTTAAAGACTTGCATCCAGTGGCGATGTTTTGTGCTGCAGCATTTGGACTGTACATATGGTCTGTATTAAACAGGGCTGATGTTTGAGGTTTCAAATTAAAAACATTGAAAAGAGAACTCTGACACTTTTGCTCTTTAGACTTTTTCTGCCTTCCAGTCTTGGGACCAGGCAGCGAACTAGTGGGAGTCGAGAAGACGGTTTAGCTTTCAAAGACATTCAGTAACTGTCACAAAGAAAAGAACACAGCATCAGACCTGCCGAGAGGACACGTGGAAATGTCTTCTCATAACAAGGAGGTGAATCATTAAAAATAAGTAGTGGTTTCAGAGCAGTGTTGTCAAAACCGTTATGTTGTGATACTGATACTGCATCCTTTTGTTAGCCTTTTCCCCCCAGAATTGTTTGTGTAATGTAACTCGCTTGTTGAAAATAAGCAATTGTTTTCTGTCTACAACACACAATACTAAACACTCTAATTCAGGAAAAAATGATTGCAAAAGGCAGGGAGATGTAGGAATTTTGTCAAAAATGCATGATAAGATGGGCTTTGTTAATGGTAGAACAATTGATCTAGATTTTAAATGTGATCTGACCAACTTGTGCCTTTTAACATAACCAAGACAAGTGTTTAATACAATTATCAGGTTATCATATTTTTCTGCTGAAAAACTGTGGATCCTGTTGTGTGATGTGTTTTTTTCTCTTATATTTTTTTCCTCTCAGTGGTAAAGAGTTTTCTCCTGTACTTGATGCAGTATGATCTCATTAACTTGAGAAAATGTTCTGGAGGATAAAAAAGATGATGTCTTCTAATCTGTAGAGGTAATGACAGAGAGAAGGAAAAAAAAAGAAAAGCAGTGTACTTGTGTTAAATTATGCCCTGAGACATTTTTGCCAATTACCTAGAAGAGGTAACTTGAATTGCGATAATAAAAGGTTGTGACATGCAGCTAACAGATTAATTCCTGGCATCATTGTCTAATGTGATTTAGAAAGTGAGTGGTAGAGGAAGCTGTACAAATTGAAGTTTGCCTTTGGTTATCTGTGCTGAGCTGACACATTATTCTCATTATGTGTAAAATGTGGCTTAAAATAATTAGCTCCTCAAATAAGCTAATGTGTTGCTGTGTTTTCGTTAACCTACTTCTCCTTTTAAGCGCTGGCACCATTCCCATCATGTTCCAAGGACAAAATGTCTACTTCTCCACTTACTGTCCCTGTACACTGCCAATTTCAGCAAGCTAGACTCCCTTTTCTAGTGGGTGTTTATGTGCGTATTAGTGTTAAATAATGGGTTGGATTTTGATAATGGGTTAATCTTTAAATATTCCCCAAATTTTGGTTCCCATAATGACATGTCCTGACATTAAAACAATTACTGTGATTATGTTGCCATATTTGAAAGAAGGTCAGGAGAGAAATGTTGGTATTGTATTGGACCTCATACTGTGCTTGACTGTGGGAATGACTAGCGTGACTGCACTGGACTTATTCCCCTATTTGTTGATCCATTGTGTGTAAAGTCTCAGCACTGGTGAAACTGTTTTGGTAGAGTAGAGTTATTGTTTTTTTTCCATTGTGATGTTTGACTGTAAATAAACTAATTGTACTTGATATCACGTTATTCTTAACTGCCCCGTTTTTCAAAGATATATTTTGAGATATTACCTCACCGTGTTTGCTTTCCCCTGAATTAACCTCTAAACAATGTTTGCTGTTCTGTGAATTTTCTTTGTAATAAAAATATTTCCGAAATTACAAAAAGAGAGGCTTTACTTTCCGTTAAAGTTTTGGTTACATGAAACAACTCTTTATATATTTGGTTGACAAATAAATACAAAGACATCTACGCCTACACAGCATGCCAGAGAATTCAGCTGTTAAAGTTCAGTACAAGTGCACTTTGCTTGCAAACAACAAGCTAATGGCAACAGCACACTTCACAAATAAAAAAACCTTTAATAATAGCTTAAACATGCTTTGTAAAACTACTGGGACTTTAAGCCACAACAAACGTTATCTATTACAATATAGCACTAAGCTTGGCTCTCATGTACCCTCATAAAATACTGGTATACTTTCTACCTATCAGTCTCGCTGCTGAAGATACCTACTCTTGCTCAGACTTCACTGAGTGATTTGACCAGCACTCTCATTTCTGCATCGCAGGCTTTGACAGCCTCCAGAGCATTCCTCAGCTCTGAGGGCAGGCCGGGTCTGACGGACACACATATCAGGACATCTCTACTGCGGTCGTAGTTCCCCACACAGCGATGGACTTGACCACGAATGAGACGAGGCAGTTCCTGCTCCTGTTGGATACGAGCCAGAAATCAGGATTAAGTCAAGTTAGATTCCAGTGCTATTATATGTTTTGCCACTGCTTTAGATATTTCCAAAGTGCCAGTGTCATGCTGCCACCTCATAAAGAAGGCAGATGATGATGCTTGGCAACAGAACATTTTGAAGAGGACTTTGAAGAAGGTCCCATTTATTAGCAAAAATATTTATGACACAGAAGCAAAAACAGCGAAATTTCAACAAAAAATAAAGAAAAGAAAAGACTAATGAAGGCAGCAGCTGCTGCCTCCTCCCTCCGCTCCAGTGAATGGCATCTTCTCAGCTTCACCTAACTGGAACTACCACCTGCTCAGGTAAGTAAATAGATATCAAGAATCACTAATCATACAAAATTATTAATTATTTCTCTGTTACTGCTAACATCACAATATAGCTATGGGCACACATGCCAAGAGGACATAATGATGCAAACCTATTTTCACTGTCACTGATTGAACAGCTCATCTACCCCAACATCACAGGCAGAACAACTGCACAATCACACACCCCTTTCAATAGAGCATAACCCTGTGAAACAAAAGTTAAACAAACTAACATGGTTGTAATATTTGTATGACCTGATTGATAAATTATCCAATTAACTCAAACATTGCACTAAAATTATCCCCACTCAATATTGGGGAAGAGGAGCTAGTGAAAAGGGAGAAGATAAATCTTTTCACAGCCATCATAAAAACTATTCACTAACACCAACACCAGATGTTCAAATCGAAACCAAGGTCACTGAAGAAACATATTCATACATACTTGCACTCATATATACTGAGAGGTTTACTTGTACAAATATACAGTATAACCAAAGTGCAAAGTGCAAGGTTTTTACCCAACTCACATTTTCATAGAAGACACACTGCACAACCTCCTTCCCGTCTCTCATGAGGAACTTCTTGGCTCCGTGGCGACCCTGTGTGACCGCAGAGTCTAGAGTAGCTGAGGGAAGAGCACAGATTGTCAATCTAATCGTGTTTAAAAATACTTAAGAGTACACATCAGAGATAACACCTAATCAACTGACCAAATATCTCAAATAAGTACGGGACTTTGTCTTTAAACTGGCTCCAGTGCCTCATGCCATCAATAACTGCAGTCAGGATCCTCAGAGAGTTCTCAATGGCTGGCTTCACTGGAAATGTTGCCTGCTGAGCACAAATACAAATGAAATTAAAAAAAATACTGATGTCCTTCAGTTATAATAAGTTGGGGTAAGACACCTCAGAAACTGGTGGTGGGGCAGAATTGGGGGATATCATATTATGATGGCATCTAAATAATGGCATATCTATTAATGACTACACCATGTGATGACATCATATGACCCACAAAAGACCCATATGTTCCCATAAAAGACCAAACACTGCACAATATAGGACAGGATTTACTTATTTATTAAGAGATTCTTTTGTGTTTACATCCTACATTAGCGTTTTAGCTTGAGTGATCATAACTCTTAAATGAAGCATGAAAGACTTATTGACTGACATAAATGTGATGTTTTTTACGCTTAGGTGTTTGCCCTCTCACTTCCAGCCATGGTCCCCGTCTACCTCATCTGTTTCCAAAGCAGTAGTGGAAGCTTACTCAAGTGCTTTATTGTAGATTACAATTTTGAGGTACTTGTACATAACTTTTTTTTTTGCCAATTTTGCTAATCTAATAATTTTATATTATTCTTAAATGTGCCATTCTGCATAAAGAGTATGCAAAAAAAAAAATCTGAATCCAGGACTTTTAGCTTCCTGTATTACTTGAGTATTACATTACATCACTCACACTTTTACATAAGTAAAAGATTTGAGTCCTTCTTCCACCCCTGCTCCAAAGCCAGTTCCCTGTCATCTTATATGTTTCCATCATCTTCTGGAAGTTTCTGTTCGTGGACTATTTATTGTGCTTGAGAATAGCGCCACGGGTGAAACCACTGCCAGTGTATATAAGGCTAAGGGTGAAACGTACATCTTAACGTCGATTACGGATTTCCTACATCAGAACTGGCAACCTGCATGTTGTTCAGTGGGAGGCGCTAGTCCGCAGTAGTTTCTGGAAGGAACCTCATGCTTGCACCATGGAGAAAGTGAGTTTCCTGCAACTATGATCATAATTAGTGATTTCAAACCTACGCTTTTAAGAAATGTCGATATATTTCTTTGAGTTACTTTAATTTAAATCTCTTAAAAACAATAATTAGCAGACTAGTGTAGTTGGACACCTCCTTACACCTGAACTTCACTGTTTGCTAATATCAAACAGCTAACGTTAGCTAGCGTCAGTCCGGTAGTAATGTGTCTTAGCTGTTGGACTGATGTCTATTTGGGTTTCATGATGTTACACAATACAATATATTTTCACAGCGCTAGTCTGAACTGTGGCTAAACCGGATTCCATAAAGTGCCATTAGGTTAGCTAGCGTTAACTGTATGTTCATGTGAGCACTGTTGTGGCTAATTTGTGATTGCTCACCACAAGGTTAGCTAATTGATAAGCTAACGTACCGCTACATGACTTGGATTTGTCACAGCTGCTGTGTCATTGGAAATATCACAGTAAGGTTTGCCATTGTATCCCCTGGCCGTGCCTCGATACAACACAGCAGCTCACTGACCGATAGCCAGTAAAGATATCCTCAAGTAACGTAACTCTCGAGTTAACGTTAGCAAATGGCCGTTTAACAGCTAACATTAACCCGGCTAACTAGCTCACAGTGTGAACGCTGTCATTAATAAGGTGACGGACAATTACAGGCCGTAATTAGGCCGTAAATCAATTTGCTTAAATACTATATATGTCCTTAGACCGGCAGCTTAAACTGCGGCGGTCCGTCTGTAGCACATGCTGCAGGAGTATTAGTGTCTCGGCCTCAGCGTTGTCCTCAGACCGGAGGATCATTCTAGATGCACACGGTGCTGCTGTCATGGCTACAGCCGCATTTTGTCGTCAGCTGCCGCGTATTCTCGAATGTTCTGCGATTGGTCAGTTCAAGTAATTTTGGGCGATTCGTTCATTTTGAAACAGTCACGTTACCTTTTTAAAATATTATTAACATTGCTTGAGCCGTCCAGTCTTTGTAACTCATCTGGCAACGCCGCTAAACGTTGCAGGCAATACGTGTTGTGCACCTTACAGGTCAAAAGAGGGGACGACATTGTTATAATGGTGCTAATGCCGTGAGGAATCACATGGTGATTTACATTGTAACACTCAATCCTGCAGGTTGCTTCCTACTTAATTGCCTCACTGTCACTGTGTTTTCCCACTAATAATTACTGGTCACATAAAGGAATTGATTGTAAATGATCAAAGTGGAGTAAGACTTTTTACACACCCACTGTGTCTTCATCCCAGACACATCAGTGACCAGCTTCATTTTATCAGATCTATAATCTGTGTAAGACAGGCTCCGTTTTCATTTTTGACAGATCTATAGGTTTGTGATTATGGATAATGTGCTTTCATCATTATGTTCATCAGCAACAACCAGACCTCACAGAGATCAACATTCTTGTCCAGCTCTTCTTTTTTTCTGAGATCTGCTCATATGTCTTTGGATCATAATGGTTGTAACCAATATTACTGGTTTAATTAGTCAGAGTTGCAGCTGGTTGGACGATTAGGTAAACAGTTGTGAAATATACAGCAATTGTACTAGAAATATTTAAGATTTTATTTTACTTTACAACTTATGAGTCAAACACTTGCATATGTGCTCTTCCCATTGTTTACCAAAATCCCAGCCTACAGTGTCATAGAGAATTATGATGAAGCTTTCTTCTGTCTTTTATGTTTTAAGTTGTTCAGATCCGATTAGGTCCGGTGACTGTGGAGGGAAAGTTATGCCAGTCTTGTTCTTTGCCCAGGATAATCGTTAATGCACATTTTATGTTATCACATTGTCATCAAATGAAGTCAGATGGGAATGTAGAGCCTTTGTGATGCTTCTCTCTGCTCAGTGTGTACTTGATTCTGTCACATACTGTGGAGATAGCGCATGATAACTCAAATTGTCAACTCGCGACCAGCAAATGACAAGGGGTGAGGAAAACAATCTGTACATGCACATATTTTTTTTCATTCTCTTCTGCCTGCTCTGGTAGCATCATCAGTATGCTTTGCCTTTTGCAAGTCTGAACAGGGATTCAGCTAGCAGACCCTTTTAACCATGCTAACTTCTGTGTGTAGTTGTTGTGCAAACTGTGTTTAAAACTTCCCCCAGCTACCAGTTTACTTTTTTGGGCGGATTCAAACCTTCTTCGTGTGAGGTTAAAGCTAACCACTGTGTCATCTTATTCTCAGAATGTACATTAACAAAATAAAGACATATTATCTCTCTGCATCACTGTTGCACCTGTCTGACACAAACAGCTGAGTGGAAAAGCGTGACTTTTACGTAGTCGGATCTATTTCGGGGGTTGTGTGCATTTGCTTTTGTGTAAGACCGCTAGAGAGCAGGAGAGCACTCTCTATCAAGTAGTAGTATTGTGAATTTGTCTATTAATGCTTAAAATGATTGTATCCTCCTGCCTCATAGGTTTCAGCATTGAAAGACCAGGGCAACAAGGCACTGAGTGCAGGGAATATTGATGAGGCTGTACGTTGCTACACCGAAGCTTTGGCCCTTGACCCTTCAAACCATGTCCTGTTCAGTAACCGCTCTGCTGCCTATGCTAAGAAAGGCAACTATGAGAATGCTCTCCAGGATGCCTGTGAGACCATCAAGATCAAGCCTGACTGGGGCAAGGTGAGATATCATTTGATCTGCCATTATTCTGTTGATGACATATTTAGGAATTAAAATTGAGAAGGCAATCTACAATCTTACAATTTGTGATCAACCAGGGCTACTCCCGTAAAGCTGCAGCATTGGAATTTCTTGGTCGATTGGAGGATGCTAAAGGAACTTACCACGAGGGACTCCGGCAAGAGCCAAGCAATCAGCAGCTAAAGGAGGGTTTACAGAACATTGAGGCTCGGCTTGCAGGTAGAAACTGTTGAATTTATGATCCCTGTTATTCTACAGAAAAAGTGGCATTATGATGTGAAAAATGGTGTGACTCATTTTCCCTCCTCCAGGATTTAGAGATGGCTACTGACAGATCACAAAAGTAAACTTGCATTGTGAGTGCTCAAGTTCTCAAAAAGAGAGTAGGCAGTCCGCTTGGGTTTTGAGTGTTGTGATTCATGTAGACAACACACAAGTAGTAGGGGTTACAGAGGAGATAAAGCTCTGGTGAATCTAATTCGAGGCCAGTGCAAGATGGGTGGGAATCATGAGTGCTTCTTTATGACCATATACATTACACTAACATGACTTTTTGCTTCACCAGAGAAATCAATGATGAACCCCTTCGCCATGCCCAACTTGTATCAGAAGCTGGAGAATGATTCTCGGACCCGTGAGCTATTGTCAGATCCCAGCTACAGAGAATTGCTGGAGCAGCTCAGGAACAAACCGTCGGAGCTTGGCACGTATGTGCTTTTAACACATTCTCTGATTTAAGTAACAAATAATGTCTTGACTGACAAACAAAAAGATAGTTACTTTGCATGCGTAATACTGAAAAGATCCCCACAAAAAGTTATCAGAAGTGAATTTGGAAAGTGTGCTGTGCAGTACCACTGAGGACTGTGGTATTAGAAATGCATTTGTTTGCCTGTCTGTTTTGCAGGAAGCTGCAGGATCCCAGAGTGATGACCACACTCTCTGTGCTGCTGGGACTGAACCTCTCTGAGATGGAGGAAGAGGAGGAGCCCACTCCTCCTCCTCCACCCAAACCCAAAGAGACTCAGCCACCTCCTCCCAAAGAGGAAGACCTTCCCGAAAACAAGAGAAAGGTAAATCCTTTCCAGTTTTAATGGGTTTTCAGCCATTTTGTCTCTCCTGATTAATCCCTATTTGCAATTTTTTAATCCTCTAATTTCTTTTTTTTAACAGGCCTTGAAGGAAAAAGAGCTTGGAAATTCTGCGTATAAGAATAAGGACTTTGAAGCGGCGCTGAAACACTATGAAGAGGCAATCAAACATGACCCCACCAACATGACTTATATATCCAATCAAGCAGGTAAACAAGCCTCAATCATTTAAGCTGATTGACTCATGAAGTGAATAAAACAAACGGATCATTCAGAATTTCTCATATCTAGAATGAATCCAGGTGGTCTACTAAGAAAAATGTCTTCCCCAATCAGACTTTGTGATTGGTTGGGGTTCCTGCCACTGGGCTGACCACCACAACTAAATCCTCAGCTTGGATGTGATTTCCAACAACACATTTTAAATGCAAACGTTATCACATTGATGGCTTATAGGCTATTTAATTAGTTACTCATGAATCCGAAATGTACCGAAAATACTGACACTCAGTCTTACAACACGTTAACCCAAATTTAAAATTGATACGACTATAACTTTACATTTCTACTTTAAATGTCAAATGTGCACTTCTTTTTGTTATCCCTTTAGCTGTGTACTTCGAGAAGGGAGATTTTGAGAAGTGCAGAGAGCTGTGTGAGAAGGCCATTGATGTTGGCAGAGAGAACCGGGAAGACTACAGACAAATTGCAAAGTGAGTTCTGCTAGAAGGATTTCCTTTTTTCCTTTTTGTTGTTGAGTGAATCTACCCACACTGTGGTCCTCAAGCTGCTATTTTATAGAATTTTGTAGGTCTTACAGGACTCAGAGCTAATGTTGAGGCCACAGAATACATTTACTCTAATCAGGTTGGAAAACCACATCCAGCAGCATTGACAGAAGAGATTGTGTTATACAAGAACCATTGGGTGGCAGTGTTGCTCTATTTCTTCTCACTACAAACTGCCCAAAGATAATGTTGAATTGGGACACAAATGATCTGTCTGTTCAACTTGAGAATTTTGTTCAAGAGCACAGAGTTGTTTGTTATTTATTTCATTATTGTTTGATTATTGTTGTTACTGACCTGTCCTTTCTCTAATTGAAGAGTGCCCCCCCGCCCCCATTCTGAGTTGTTTGCTTCTGAGATTTATAGTTGCAAAAATAAGAATGATGTCATATCATTGCGCTGTGAATGTAATAACATGTCTTCGTATTCAATCTGTCTCATCCTTCTGTTTTCACAGGGCCTTGGCTAGGATTGGCAACTCATACTTCAAGCAGGAGAAATACAAAGAGGCAGTTCAGTATTTCAACAAGAGTTTGACAGAGCATCGTACCCCTGATGTCTTGAAGAAGTGTCAACAGGTGCACTGAATGGAGCTTTGTGATTCTAACTATTAGACAGTATTCATTTATCCAGACTTGTTGTCAGACCTGCTTGTGGACAGGGAATGAAAACGTAAGTGGACACCCGACTTAACTCATGATACTGTAATTTCAGGCAGAGAAGATACTGAAGGAACAGGAGAAGCTAGCCTACATCAACCCTGAATTAGCCCTGGAAGAGAAGAGCAAGGGCAATGACGCCTTCCAGAAAGGTGTGTGTGTGTAGTAGTTGTAGTGCGTGGTGGTTGATCACTGTTATTGATTCTTCTTTTAAGAACTTGTATAAAGATGTACTCCTCTTTTCCTTCCCACAGGTGATTACCCCTTAGCCATGAAATATTACAGTGAGGCCATCAAGAGAAACCCTGATGATGCCAAACTGTTCAGTAACAGAGCTGCCTGCTACACAAAGCTGTTGGAGTTTCCACTTGCTCTGAAGGTACAGTGCATCCATACGAAGCATTTTAGTCAGTCAATTTGTGAATTTGTAACATGCCTTTTTTTAATTCATTTAATTTTATTTCCCATTTAAAAATGACCTTATTATATAATTTTTTATTTTTTTTTGTCAGGATTGTGAAGAGTGCATCAAACTTGACCCCAGCTTCAGTGAGTAGGAACTTTGCATCTATTACCATTTGATTAACATTTTGTTTGAAAAACTTTAATCAAGTAATGTTTTATACTTGTAACTGTTAAAGTTAAGATTCAGGACAAATCATTCAGATTTTACACCTAATTTGAACACATTGGTTTACAGTAAAAGGCTACACACGTAAAGGCGCTGCCTTGGAGGCCATGAAAGACTATTCAAAAGCTATGGATGCATACCAGAAGGCTATGGATCTCGACTCTTCCTCAAAGGTATTTTACAAGTTACTACTGTGTAGTAACGATACATAAACCAAATAATCAGTCATTACCTGACCTTCCATTTTTTTTTGTTTTGTGGTGTCATTTAATTGCTCTTTCTTGAAGTAATAGTTTCAATAATGTGTCGCCTTTCTAAAACCAGCTAGTTATGTGTAAGTATTTGTAGTATCAGCAGGGGTAAAATGACCATTAAAGTAAAAATCTGAGCAAATGCTGAGGACCAAAATGTATAAAACAAACAAGACACTTAATTGGCTTTTTTTTTTCTTCATCTGCTATCAGGAAGCCACAGAAGGCTTGCAGCGCTGTATGGTCAGTCAGGCCACGAGGAATGACACTCCTGAGGAAGTGAAGAAAAGGGCCATGTCTGATCCCGAGGTGCAGCAGATTATGAGTGACCCAGCCATGCGCATGATCCTTGAGCAAATGCAGAAGGACCCTCAGGCGCTTAGCGAGTAAGTTTGCCAACTTTTGTGTTACTTTCTGTCTCTCTGCACGAACAATAATGATTATTGATGATGTTTTTTTTTTCTGTTTGATCCTCAGCCACTTAAAGAATCCAGTTATTGCTCAGAAGATTCAGAAACTCATTGATGTTGGACTGATAGCCATTCGTTGATGACAACCAAGATCCAGATGTGTGAGGAAACTCCAAGACAACAGTGGAACAATGAGCAAATCCCTCAGAAATATTACATCCTCTTTTCTTGCCTTCAAATTCAAAATTATATCGTCTATAGTCTCACTGAGACCTTGTGTATGTTATGTTTTTTTAAAAATCAGTTTCACAACTTTTGCTTTGTATTTAAGAAAACATCTTGTATGTCATCAAAACTTCAGGACTCAAGAAAACTTGATCTGAAAAAGCTGGATTCATGTGTACAGATGCTTCAGTACATTCAAAATAAACAGCACAATTCAGTGTTTTGAAAGGGAAATCCACCCGAAAGCAGTTCACATATTCCTATTGGTTTATGGTTTAAGGAAATGGAACAAAGAAGTATTTCCAGACTCAGAATCCAGATTGTAATGTAATGCAGTGTCAAAAATTGGCCCTTGTCATCTCCTGTGTTGTCTTCTTTAAGGCTCAACTGAACATGGTGGTTTAAAGTTGAGCTTTCAAGTCTGTTTTCCTCAGTGCTTCCCCTCTTTTGGTCATCTCCCACACCTCAGGTCAAGAGCTGACTCTATCCCATCTACTGGCCAACTGGTCGTGAATCTTGTAAGCATGTTAGGTATTTTTTTTTGTACTTTTCCAAAAGTTGCAATTATTTGTGTACAGCTAATATCAGAAAAACATTGAGCGTTTCCTTGATTGTGGTGGACAGCGGATGGATCCAGACAAATTTTAACTGGGACTGGAAGAATACTAGTAAATGCCTTTCAGAGAGTCTGGGGATATTTTGCCATGATTTAAGATTGATCCTCAACAGTTTATTAAACAAGTTCCTTCAGCAATCAAGCCAGCCATGTTATTGTTTCTGTGTTAGTCAAAAAATTTGAGGTAAAGCAGTTGCAGTATCAGCTAGAGTAAGTAAGTATCAGTAATAATATTAGAATATTGTGGAAAATGCACTGATCTGTGACAGAGAGTCAACTTCACTACAATTGTCCTTGCGCAGTGTCATGATTTTGTAATCGGGTTTAAACTGCAGGCAACAGGAGGTGTGTCAATAATTGGAAGTCAAAGTAGATAAGGCTGGCCTCAAATTGTGGTTAACAAAGCCTGAAACCAGAGGGCTGCTGTACAAAATCTGACAACTTGCCTGACTTGAATATTTATAATGGGAATAATGTGATAGTTAAAGGGTGGATTTACCTTTGTAGGCTAGCAAATTTTGGTTGAGTAATGGGGGTCACAATTATCTCACTTCATGATGCATCTTAAATGTTTGTCGGCTTGTCTTTAGAGTACTGAAGCCCTAGTACTACCTGTCACTTCCTTGTATGTATTTCGCCAGCCAGTCAATTCTTTTGGTAAATTGTGCCAACCTCCCCCACAGCGTCAGACTGCTCCGCATCTGTTTTCAGAGAGGAAATGGAAAAGTGTTAATATTGCTATTGACCACTGTGCCACAAGTGGCTTCAGATACCTCAAAGTCACCACATTGTCAGTATCTCTCTGCTATGGTTCATGGTCCAAGATGGGGTCAAAAATCTCATAAATGAACTGTGACACCTTTTTCTTTTCACACAGAAGAATTGCTCTGTCTGGAATCATCTATAACTTGTGGCACACAACAGCAGAATTGGGGGTGTGGGTATTTTTTACCAACAAAGTCCAGCTGTTATCATAAACTACACGCTACAAATGTGGAAATCTCACATGATGTAAAGGAAACTGTCCCAACAAATGTAATGTACTAATGGAAATCAGTTGTACTGTGAAATATACAGTATCTGAATGTATTTCAAAGGTCTGTGGTGGCTTTTTTGGTCCTACAAGACCAACAATGTTGATATCGACTCAGTGCAGTAGTAGACCTACATTTTATACCGCGGTTTACCACCTTACAGTACACGTACGAATAAAAAGAAAAATGGAGAGCTTCTTCATACAAACACGTGTAAATATTTATGCATGTCAAATGTTTCATCTCGAGTAAGATAGCATTTTAAACATATTAATAGATGTTTAGTATTGGCAAATACTCCACTCTAGATTGTAGGCATGTCAAAATTGAATGTATGCCTGGTTCACAAATGGAAAAAAAAATAAATATTTTTGCTAGTGCAAGTCAAACACTGATAAGTGTACATACAGATTTATATACAGTATGCATATCAGATGTAATTCTCTAACAGCAATTAAAAGGTACTGAAGACTCAGGGGCCCCACAACAACACTCGTATGTGCCACTCAGACCCACAGTTTGTCAGCCATTTGGACGATCATGTTGTTTGTGCGGTGGAGAAATGTACACCTATGCATCATACAATTGACCACCTGTGTATGGAAAATACAAACATCCTCTAAACCCAGTTTACCAGTCTTCTTGAGGTCTCGAGCAACGTTGCTCCGCCCACACCGAGAGTTCACGTGACTGACCGTCGCCCAGGTTGTGTCGAAAGCATCCTGGTGTTAGCAGTTAGCTTCCCGCTGACAAAAAATAGAAAGTGAGGTGTAAATATTGGTATCATGGGAGAATTATTAACGTGGCTCTAGTGGAAAGACAGAAGATAAGGAACTACCCAGAGTGGGCTTTTCAACATAGTCTGATAGCTGATATCGGAAGAGGCCAGTTAACACAGCTAACTAAACATTAGCGTTAGCTATCGTTCAAACTTTGACGGGCAACAGCAGCAATTCGCTAGCTAGCTGCTAGTTTGCCAATTTACTATTAACTGTGTAACATGTCTTGTTATTATAGGGGTTATGCTAATTATCCAGAGTTGTAGGTGTTTAAGCGCTGAGTATTTACGCGTTATTTTGATCAGGCGTGTATGTAAAAGTAGCGTTAACGTTATTACGAAGTAACGTCCGCTAACTTATGAATAATGACTGTTGTTGAGCAGCTAATGCTAATGTTAGCCACTTAAACTTCGCTGTAACTAACACACAGTTACTCAAAATCAGTGCTGATGAGCTTCCTCTTAGCTATTAATAGTGAAATAAAGCGAACAGCAGCTAGTAAACAGCTGTAATCTGTAAAGCTACACGTCTGGGTTTTCTGACTGATTTCGGCCAATCACATGAGATAAATAATGCGAAACACCAGGATGTCAATCGCCCGGGGATTAACGTTAGGGCAGCAGTATTGTCTAGAAAACACAGCTGTCCGGTCATTTCGATAATCGTTGTATTCATAATGCAGCTACAGTAGATTGTATTAATTGCTAAGCGTGCAGGTAACATCTTGTAAACCAAAACATTTGGCGGCGCAGTACATCTTTAACAGTGTCTATAGGCTTTAGTCTACTTTTCTTTAAGTTATGCCTGGGGACGCATCTGATAGTAGTGATGACTCCGATGCAAAAACAAATGAAAAGGCCTGTACCGTCAAGCATCAAATCACCAATGGTAAGTCAAATATACTGTCTGTAATCACATCTTCTCAACACTGCACAGTGTAATTAAATACATCATTTAATACAACGCTTGTCAAACGTATAATGTTTCATTGTTGAAGCTTTGTCAGAGGGATGTTGATTAATTTCTGCAAATTCAAATATTTGCACATGGTGATTTCCGAGGCTGTATAGTAATAGTAATACTACTGTATTGTGTTACATAACATCACACAGGTGTTTCTATTTTTTGTCACACAGTATGTAGATAATGGTTTTCATATCCTTCAGTATACATTCAAGGAATTCATTCTCACCCACCCCCGTGCCAAGCTTTCAGAGCTTCTGTGTGTCAAACCCAAGGATCTTGTTAACAGTGGATAGGTACATTGCCCTCAGACAGGACTCTCTATTCAGTTTGTGTTGTGCTGTGTTTGTACTCTTAATTCATTTTGATCACTTGGTCTGGACCTTGCCCTATAGTGTGTTTATGAACTCTGTATGCATCCTAGAATATAATTCATAGTGTAAATCTTCAAATGAAATCCACACAGAATGACATGAAGCAGAGAACTGCTGCTCTGTCCCCCTTTAGTGAGTTAAACATTTCAGGTTAGTTAGTTGCAGATCTGGCCATACCATAAACAGTAGTGTCACTGCATATTTTTAATCAGCTGTCACAGCAGCATTGCAGCAGGCAACATTCTTATAAATTGTAAATACAGTAGCTGTTAAACAGTAAATCTTTAAAATGTTGAGATACTTGAATACATATGTATGTTAGATGTATCTACTGTCAGTTAATATACTTGGTACACATACCTATATACTAATATAAAGTATTATAACAACTTTGTCATTACAGGTTTTTTGTGTGCTGAATACTAAAAGTCAAACACACAGAGACGCATTGGGCTAAATTGAGTCACTCACAATTGAATTCTGGTGTCTCTTAACAGTTGGACAGCTGTTTCAGTATATTATAAGAGATGCAAATGTATTTTTGAAAGATGTCTGCCTTTCAATTTAAAACAAAAATGTCTGTGTTTGCAGGGGGCAGAAATGGTGTATGTGTATATCCTGTATGTTTTCATTGTGTTATTTTCTTTCTGCCACTAGCTAACCTCACAGGTCACACTGAGAGGGTCGGCATGGAGAACTTTGAGCTGCTCAAAGTCTTGGGCACTGGAGGTAGGAGTGTCCATGATTATTAAATAGGCCTCCAGTATATTAAATACAGATACAGTTCTGGTCAACTTGAGTAACATGTCAGTATGAGGTATACTCAAAGCAGACAGGGTGTATTTTCCTGCCATGGTTAAATATGTTGGGGACAAAGTGTTTGGTAAAACATTTCCTTACATTCATATCTGGATTCGGGAGTTGAAAATCAACAGCATGAGTCGTATCTGGGTATTTAGAAGGTAGACCATATGCTGTATATGTCTCTGTTATTAGATCTAATCCATTATAAATACCAGTGAGTGTTTGTATTAACAAAACAACATCTGATTAAATTTGGTGTGCAGGTATGTTTTGCAGAGTTCAGTTTCACTTTTGTACTAGAAGTAATTTGAATGACTGGATAAAATATTTGATTTTCTTTGTCTAGCTTATGGAAAAGTGTTTTTGGTCAGGAAGAACAGTGGTCATGATGCAGGCCAGCTGTATGCTATGAAGGTGAGACTATAAATCTGAAATTTTGAACTAAATGTGATCACAAAACAGTTTCTAAGATAAAAAAATTAAATCACTGGGCAATGTTTTAAATTCAAGATGGGAAACCTTTTAAAATGTGTTATGTTAATTATTTACTGATTTTGCTTTATTCAAAATGTATTTATATTACTTGCACAGCACATGATGACATGTCATTCATGATATGCCAACTATTTTGAGCAGAATTCAGGTAGATAATATTTGGTACATGACTTATTTTTTAAAGCTGCTGTATGGTTAGATGCTATAAGTTAATAAAGTGTTTCACTTTATCATGAAATATATAAATTAATTCTATTCAGGATGTCTATATACTGATGTAAAATCACAATTAGTCAAAAGTTAAGTTAACTATTCTGTTTACTACCCTAGGTGTTAAAGAAAGCAGCTATTGTTCAAAAGGCAAAAACAACAGAACATACTCGCACTGAGAGGCAGGTGCTGGAGCACATCCGCCAGTCTCCCTTCCTGGTCACGCTCCACTATGCCTTTCAGACACAGAGCAAACTACATCTCATCCTGGGTGAGTGATGGGACACTACAACCAAATACACACATGCACATATGCACACTCTTGTCTCTTCAGTTTTGAAGTGCTGAATAGATATTCTCTTTATGTTTATGTACTGTACTTTATGTCCGTTTGTTGGCATTTTGTGCATAATGTGTGTTTGTGTAATTTTTGTATTATGTCTATTCAAGCTCCCTGTGTATTTGTACAGACTATGTGAGCGGCGGGGAGATGTTCACTCATTTGTATCAGAGGGATCACTTTCCTGAGGAGGCAGTGCGGATTTATATCGGGGAAACAATCCTGGCTCTGGAGCACCTGCACAAGGTGGGTGTTGCTCCTTTCAGTTCTATAACTTACAGCTACATTTATCGATTTTAAGATTCTAGGAGGCAGAAGAAAGACAGAGCAAGCTTCCAGAAACACTGCACAAACATATAAACTTTTATATTGTTGTTGCAAGCAGCTACCTAAATACACAAAGACGCAGACACAGAGCTACATTGTCATCCCATAGGAGTCCTGTTTCTGGCCACCAGACAAATGTCCCACAATTGGTAGTCCTTTAGTTCTAGTTTGGTCACTACCAACTTTCTGGTTAAATAAATGGGCCTTTAACTGCAAAATGTTAAGCCAAAACCAAATAGTCACTAACTTTGCTTCTTGTTTGGTACTGGGCAGGAAGTCCTCTGGGCTGAAATACTCTCTAATTCATTTAAGTTACCTAGTAGTTACCTAATAACGTTTCACAACCTCTGTAGCTGTACAATTAGCTCTAAATCCAGGTAAGCAAATGTGGCTTTAAAATTGTTATTTCTTTTTTTAAAGGATGTGCACAAACCACTATGTCGAAGGAAGGCAGGCGGTGTGCTTTTTCAAGGTTGTTTACACTCCAGGTGTTGTTTAGTTATGACCTTCGGCAGGCAAACTAGATTCGCAGTGCAGCATTTAAATAAAATATTGACATTGGAAAACCCTTTTCAGATAGAAGATTCTTGCAGCTTGTGGAAAAATCACCATTCACACAAAATTGTCCACATTGCCTGAAAACCATAATGGCGACTTTTATACGATGTTTCCTTTGATAGCATCAAATAAAACCATCTAAGCAACAGCACCTTTGGTGACTAATATTCTCATTCCCTGAGGTATTGTTGCAATAATGGATTGTTTGGACAGTCATTTACTTTGAGTTTTAAGGATTAGATCAGAACTAGGTTGGAAAATGCTGTGATGACTGAAAATAACCCACAGTTAATGGGCCATTTTTGCCTTCTTTGCTTGTTAAAATGTTTACTGTGTTTTTCTGTGTATACTGCATGCCATCTTTGTTCAGAAATCTCTCCATTTACCATGAATGTAACTGGTAAGTTTTCACTGTGATTTTGTACAGCTTGGGATTGTGTACCGTGACATCAAATTGGAAAACATTCTTCTAGACAGTGAAGGCCACGTGGTATTGACAGATTTTGGGCTCAGCAAGGAGTTTCTGGAAGAAGAGGTACGTAAACATGTTATCCAAAACCTATGTGTGCATGTGGGCAATGATACATGGAATGTGTGCGTTGTCTGTTATCAGTATTTTGTTCATTTAAGATTAGTTTTTAATGGTTTTACTTTATCTTCCCTTTATTCTTATTACAGAAGGAGAGGACATACTCTTTCTGTGGCACCATTGAGTACATGGCACCTGAAATCATCAGGGGGAAAGCCGGGCATGGAAAGGTAAATATGTGACAGTAAGTGGTCACACATGAGGGGTCTGTAAAGTAATTATTCAAATTATCTATTTTTTACATCCAGTTATTTCAGGATGAGACAGAGTTTCATGACTTTGGGTAACTTAAAAAATTTAAGGGCTGATGTAAAATACATGAAATGAAACAATGACATTTTTTGTTATTCAAGGTAGTATTATAAGAGACTACCCAGGTTCCGCTGAACAAATACACAGTGGGTGGCTAATCTGCTCATAGTTTTCTCTCTTTCCTTTATGTCATGTTTTTTAAGTTGTCTTTTCCTTCAGTCTGTAGATTGGTGGAGCCTTGGGATCCTGATGTTTGAGCTTCTGACGGGAGCATCTCCTTTTACCTTGGAGGGAGAGAGGAACTCCCAGAGTGAGGTGTCAAAGTGAGTGCTTCTGACTCCACCTCCTAAAAATATGTATTCAGATCTTAAGCCAACTTTTTTATGCTCAAGTCATAGCAGTTCTCCCAGCCATTGTGTTGGAGGCACCTTTTCTCATTCTTCTATGTAACACAAATTGCAATTACAATCTTAAAGCTGCTCTAGGAATTTGTCATACATATCTTATGACTTATGGCCATCTTTTCCATCCCTATTCTGTCAGACGTATTTTGCGCTGTGATCCACCATTCCCCTCTATGATTGGACCTACTGCTCAGGACCTACTGAGGAAGTTGTTGGTTAAAGACCCCCACAGGAGGCTGGGCTCTGGACCAAGAGGGTCTGAAGACATTAAAGCACATTCCTTCTTCAAGGTCCTACTTACCACAACTTCCAGACACTCAAATATCTCACTTCCCCTGGCCCCTCTTCTCATTCATCCATAACCCTTCCCATTTCCTTTTTGTCTCCTAACAGGGCCTGAACTGGGCTGACCTGGCACAGAAAAAGGTGCCAAGTCCATTCAAGCCAGAGCTGAAGAGTGAACTTGACGTAGGGAACTTTGCCGAGGAGTTCACTGGGATGGATCCCGTCTACTCTCCAGCGAGCACGCCCCCGAGCACTGGCCGTCTGTTTAAGGTTAGTCCTTGCTGTCTCAGCCTCGACCCTTATAAAAGCTTGATTTTCAGAATAAAATACATATAACCATCATCTGAAAATCTTAACATTCTGACCAAGTAAATGCTACTAATGATGACTTAATGCCTTTTCTATTATGTAGTTGTGTGTTTGGGGTAGGCTCGTGTTTTTGAAATTACGTGTGATTTAATTTTTTCTCTCTCTGTCTATCAAAGCAGACTACTCAAAGTGTACTACCTCATCATACACCTAACATTACCTCTCTGTTGTTTTAGGGTTACTCTTTTATTGCTCCCTCCATCCTGTTCAACAAGAACGCGGTCATGGGAGACTTTGTAGAATCCCAGGTTGGGGCTGATCGACCAGGTTCAGCCTCTGTCCAACGCAGTGCGATGTTAGAGGTATGGATATTGAAACAGTGGATCTTGGCTTATAAAGCCATTTTTGAAATTAGTTTGAAATTATTTGGGCATCAGTTGTTCTTGGTAGGCAGCATCTTTTTTATCTGTATTGGAATCTAGACAGATGTGAAATGGCATCTAAAAAAGGCTCAGCAGTACTTCACTATTCAATTAGGGCAAACAGGAAGTAAGAGAGGAAGAGAAACTTGTTTATGTTAGCCTAGTTTATTAACCACAGTTGGCTCACATTATTTCACCACACATTATGATTACAGTAGATGATAAAGAATAGATGTTTCATCAGAGTGTTAATGCCTCTAAAGCAAAGGTTGTATCACATACTAGTCAATGCACACCAAAAGTCAGATCCTTTTTACACTGTTGGAAGCCAAAACCATGTCATGTGACTTACACCATCCATTCTTTGTTTAGGAATCCCAGTTTTTTCAGCACTATGAGCTGTGTCTACATGGGCCACCCCTCGGTGAGGGTAGTTTCTCTGTGTGCAGGAAATGCAGACACAAGCAAAGTGGCCATGAGTACGCTGTCAAGATTGTCAGCCGCCGGTGAGTGGAGATGTGATATTGCAACACTGGCTTAGTAATAGCTAACAGTAAAACAGTATCCCTGTAGCATCTGATCTGGCATAAGTCTCAGAATGTCCTTGTTAACTTGAATATCTCTTTTAACTGTTAGAATGGAGGCAAACACCCAGAGGGAGATTGCTGCTTTGAGGCAGTGTGAGGCTCACCCGAACATCGTCAAGCTACATGAAGTCTATACTGATCAGGTACAGTCGAGTCAATCACTGACAAAACATTAACAGAACAAATAGTGAATATACTGCATGTACTTTAAAGGATGGAAACTTTGTAATGCTGGATATTAAGCTATGTGCAACAACAGAAACATTGCAGAAAGTCTTCTTTTTGCTCTTCCTCTCTGTCAGTACCATACATATTTAGTGATGGAGCTTCTGCGCGGTGGGGAGTTGCTGGAAAGGATCAGGAGGAAGAAACTCTTTGGCGAGGCGGAGGCCAGTCAGCTGTTACAGAGCCTGGTCTCAGCTGTCAGCTTCATGCACGAGGCTGGAGTCGTGCACAGAGACCTCAAACCAGAGGTGGGCTGTGACTTGATTCATTCCTGAAAATATACAGTCTCTCGTTCATTTTATCTGTGTCTTGTGGACACACATGTGTATATGATTTTGTTCAGATAAAAACTCCAGTTGAACATTATTACAACCATAATTCTACTCATACTGAAATCAGAAGTACATTTCAGAAATTACAAATTGAGACATTAGACATTAGAAAGGAAGCTGTTACTCACCCAAGTGATGTGGTGAGAAAGAGAATTAGTGGGTACGAGAACAGAGTGAAGTTTTAATTGTCTCAGTATTTTTCCACTGTGAGCTGCATGTGTCCTGAGTGCTCCGAGGATGTCTGGCATAAACTGGCTGAATGCAGAGTTATAACCGACCGCTTTGATGTTAGTGTGGTTATTTTAAACAGTGGACAACAGTGCACAATGCCTCTGCTGCGGTGCGACACTTTTTAAAATGAACACTGCAGATTTATCACACACATATCCTGCCGTCTTCAGATGGCTGTGGGATTTAATTAACTGAAGGAAAATGCTTTCATATAGTATAAAGCAGCTGTGAATGACAGACAGTGGTGAGAATCACCCATTAACGTTTAGTTCTGCACAGTGTTTTACTGAGACGCCTGTCGTAATTGCATAAACTTTTATTTTTGATGCCAATCTAAATGCATTTACTGGTCGGAGAGTGTTTGATTAAAACTGTTTGTCTACATTATTCCACAATTCCTGCACATTTCTTTGTATTTATTGACGTTGTGCTTGTTGACCGCATCACAAAATAATAAATCATGGTCAGATGAGTGAGGAAATCACTCCAGTCCTCCAGCATCTAATCTAATTTTCACCCAAATATCAACAACTAATTTTGCGGTGCCTCATTTGACTGGAACTCCCATCTGTTTACCCTCTACTTCCACCTTTACGCCACATGTGCTGCACTGCGCACGAAAACGCCATAGAGACAGGCAAAGCATATACCAGTGTTAGGAATGTGCCAACTTGTAGTATTTAATTGTCTTTGTGCTGTCAGGAAAATTGAGCCCAGAGTGTAAAAAGTAAAGAATAAAAGGATGATCATGGATTTTATGTGTTTACCTTTCAGAACGTGCTGTTTGCAGATGAGGGGGAGGACTCTGTGCTCAAAGTAATAGATTTTGGATTTGCCCGCCTATGCCCTGCAGGCAGCGCCCCCCTACAGACTCCCTGCTTCACGCTGCAGTACGCTGCGCCTGAACTTTTTGAGAGCGCGGGCTACGACAAAGCCTGTGACCTCTGGAGTCTTGGGGTCATCCTGGTAATTTATCCCAAAACTGTTAATTCTGTCACATCAACAAGGCTAACTGAAGTACTAATGCCTCTCTTTCTCTGTGTGGGTTTTCATCAGTACACCATGCTGTCAGGCCAGGTGCCGTTTCAGAGTGAGCAGCGTGGGATGACCTCATCATATGCTGCTGACATCATGCAAAAGATAAAAGAGGGCGATTTCTCATTGGAGGGGGAGGCCTGGAAGGGTGTATCAGAGGATGCCAAAGAGCTTGTTAAAGGTGTGTGATATGATACAGATTTCTGGATATATCAGGACTGGCAATTCTGAGTGGCTGTTACTTAAGTTTTTAGTGACACATTAGCTCTTTGCTAGAGCCATATTACATAATTAACAATAGTACATGCTTCAATTTTCTGCCTGCTCTGTTGGAGGATGTGATGTAGATGTGATGTTTATTGGACTTTTTCCCCACACACCCTCTTTGAAAAGATGGCTTCTTGTTTCTTTGTTGTTCATTTTAACCCCTGCCTCCATGGTTTAAGGCCTACTCACAGTGGATCCAGAGAGGCGTCTCAAACTCTCTGATCTGAAAGAGAACAGCTGGCTGCACGGTGGAGCATCCATGTCCACCACTCCTTTGTGCACTCCAGATGTGCTAGAGTCTAGTGGGCCTACTGTTCGCACATATGTCAATGCCACCTACAAGGTAAATAGCATTGTGCACCAAAATTCTCTCAGAGTAGATGTTAAGGGCGTGTTTTTCATCTTACTTTTCTCTTCCTTGTCGTTGGTCCTTTTCCTCTCTCAACAGGCTTTTAACCGTGGTAAGAGAGAGGGCTTCTTTCTGAAAAGTGTCGACAACGCTCCCCTTGCAAAACGGCGAAAGCTGAAAATGACGAGCACAGGCGTAGAGACCCGATGGAGTTCATCCTCTTCCTCCTCCTCTTCTTCCACTTCCTCCTCTGCCTCTGCAACAGCATCCAAAGCACAGCCAAAGCAAACTGTGACCCCAAAGCAGAGCTAGCCTGAATGGCAGGGGAGAGAGCAGGAGGAAAACTAAGTGGTATGTGTTTATACTGGCAACATGTTGTCCCCCAGTGGTGATCGGGTCACCCGGTTCCAAAAAAACATACTGACAAACCAAAAGACTGGTTTAGGTTAGTGTTAAGTTTTCAATACAAAATTGAATTCCACTTTTTAACAGCAAAGCAACTTCATTCATCATGCCATATCCTCCATAACCAAACCTGTATTTTCCTTGAGTGGATGGAAGAGATGATGATAGAGGTCTAGCTTGACATCTCTAAGATGCACAGAAATCTGTGGCCTTGAGAAAAATAAATACATATTCAGTATTCTCTCACCATATTATGGTGATATCACACACTAAAAGTTTAAAATAAGACATTTGCCTATTTTCACTGTGGGTAAGAAACAGTGCCTGGCTATATAGGGATAAAGGGAAAAAGGAGCCATAAATGAGCAGAAGCCATATATACAGCAAAGCAGTGAATATATCAATTGAGCCGTTGTGAATACACACAAATTTGCACATAGCAAATTAATAGTCCTTCCAGAAATTAGCAGGCATAACCCTTAGATTGTATCAAGGTATTTTTAAATTTGCCACACATGTAATGATCGGCAAAAACATGGCAAAAGTTGGGCCACAAGTGCTGTGCCACATGTAGGCGTTGTGTGGAAACTTACATTTTTTTTGCTTTTTCTCAGTTGTGTAGGTTGAGCAAGAATCTAGCTGTTTGCACTATTTGCATATAATGTAAATAATACAAAAAAAAGAAAGCAAATTGCTGGAAGGACTGAGCGTGGAGGGAAATGCTTGTGATATGTACAACCTTTGAGACTGCAGAGGGTGAATAATGCTGTAGTCGAAATATATTGGATGCATACAGTTTTAACTGTGTCAGTCCTAAGGGCGCTGACTTTGCAAGGCACTTCCAATACACTACCAACTCTACAGATCCCATTGAACACAACGTGGAACGCATGTCTTGATTGATGGTTCTGATAAAGTATTTTGACCAACAATCAGAGTTCGACTTGAAGTGGTCGCAGTACAGTACAGAGTCCAACAGTAGCAGCTGTATAAAACCGATGAAGACAGAAACAGTCATGAAGAGTGCGATTTTCTTGTCATACTTGCTGTAAATTACTTGCATTATTGTGCCAGTCTGAAAATCTCTAGCATGCTAATCTGTTGTGATGATTAACTGTAAGAACTTTTTCTATATTTTGGTATCTCGGGCACCCAGGATGGTTTTATGCTACAAAGTGCAGCTTGAGTGTTTGCACGTAGATTGGAGCAAAATCCATGTTGGTGATTCTGCATGAGCATCGCCTTGGGCTTTTGAATTTTAAAAGGGTATTACAGTTTCCTGTCGCCCTGTCAGACCAGCGCCATATGCGGCTATCACAGATACAATCAGATTTGATACAGTGAAATATTGTTGCCCTTCAGTTGTGCTCAGCTTGTTGTCGCCTGGGCTGTAAGGGTCACCCAAATATGTCTTTTTACAGATGTGGTTTTGCAAACATTGTATGGCTTTGAAATTCAGATTTATGTTACAGAATGAGACACTTATAATGACTTTAATCTGGTTCTCGTGAGACCAGCCTGTGAGACCTGGTGTGTATATACGCGTCCTTGATTTAGAGCATAATAAAGACACAATGATTTAAAATTTGAGTTTTAATGGTATATCAGTCTCTCCTGATGTAATTATGTTTTTATTGGACTTTTTACATGTTGCACAGTCAGTTGATCAATTAAACACATTTCAGCTTTAAAGGTGCTTTGACTGATATTTATTACATGTAATTGATTTTAATGCAGTGGTAATGGGATTGATGATTAAATTGGCTCTTTTATGTGTACCAGCATTGTGTGTATGTGTGTGTGTGTGTACGTTTGAGTGTGTGGGTGTCTGTGAGCATGAGTGGTGCTGGGAGGTTGGTTGTACTCCTATTCCTGTATCAGATGAAGCATTATTGCAAGTTACTGTATTATTTGTCGTTGTTGTTTGCCGCCTTTGTCTTTTGGAAAGTAACTGATTGTTTGTGTTTGAACATTGAAATTTTTACTTCGGAAACTGTGCTTTTATTGGTGTTGATATTCTTTTGTTGTAGTAGTAAATTTTACTTTCTTTTTTTTTTTTTGAGCATTACTATTTTACTGAGATGCACTGTCACTGATGTCATAACTGGGAATTTGTCTTTTGCACCAAGACTTTTTGGTTGGTGCAAAATAAACATTGCTTTTAAATAGACGGTTGTTTGTTTTGTTTTTTTGAGTGTCGTAATTGTTTTGCAAATGCTTGTGATCAAAGTGCTCATTAGTTGGAGCGTTGTCAGCACCAATTACACTGAGGTCCATTAATAGTGACGGTGAGACTTTGAACTGTTGGTACTAAGTGCAAATATAAATTATACAGGAAGTCTGATAACCTTTCCATTTGATAAAAGCCCTTCCAAACAACACAAATAGTTATCAGTCTGCTCCAGAGATGATGGTCACACTGCCACAATGAGACATTTTTCGGATTGAGATCGGTTTATCTCTGTTGCCATATTTAAACTCAAAATCTATCATCTGTTATTCAAATACATTTTAAACAGCCATTGATTTTAGCGTGTGTTTATGTTTATAAAGGCTTTAAAGCTTATAAAGTTAGCTCTCTAGCCTGGACAACTACCACTTTTTTCCATATTGCAGAAAAAAGACAGGACAAAATTAGGGTTTCTGAGCATCTTTATTCTATCTGCTCCTCAGCTGGGTTTTTAGAAAAGCTCCCCTCTGGATAGAACTGTCTTTCATCTTGAAACACTGCTGCTTTAAAAAGCAATTAGTATGCTAACATTACCAACCAAAGACAGTTTGTTGTTGAAAATGGTGGGAGGTTTGTGAACAGCAGTGTGTACAATAAATGTCTGGAATTTTGAAATGTGTCTGCGGTCTTAATCAAAGTGTTTGCAGTGTAGAGCCGAGTTCTCCAGCAGCTTGGGTGCTTTATTCTTAGTTAGCTTCTGTGCTAGCAGGGGGCTACAATATCCCATTCTGTGTAATGAGTTTATTGTACCATTAGGTGGCTGTTGTGTGCTGTTTGATCTGTTCCAGTGTCTTACTTCCCCCTCTCTAATTTGGTTACTTCATTGAAAGATATGAATATGTCACTTTTCTCTTTCTCTTTATGATACTTTTAAAATGCTCAGTATTGGATAACTCGATTTTTCTATTACTCATCCAAATGATGTCATGCATTATGGTCAATGGCACTTAGACTGTTACATTTCCTCATTAGACCACATGCATGTTTAAAACATTGCTCTGGACAAGCACAGAACAGAAGGAGCAGGACACATCCGACACAGGGCAGTGCAGAAAAGGACACAGTGGCCGCCTAATGATACAAGACCTTCATTACGCAGGACAGGACATTAAATTACTCCTTCTCACTAAATTACACCCTTTCTCATGTACCACCAAGCCAGGAGTCTAAAAGACACTGTAAAGGGTTTGTAGTGCTAAATAGAAGCACTCAGCTGGGTGAAACACCTCGGCTGACTTTCTGATGGAGGTAGTTCATTTGTCAAAATTAAATAGGGGCCAAGGCGTGACTTATTCTTTCAATTAATATCAAATACAAAACCAACTACCAAATAGATTTATGAACAATGGAAGTGACTGTATAACAAGACACGTCTACAGCCACACGACCTGAGAAATTTACTGATTTAAACTAGGTACTAGCTAATGTTGCAGTGAATTTCCTTACTAGGCTAGGACCTGCACATAAACCGGGATGCCAGAAAAGAAAGAAGAAGAATATGAGGGAGCTGACAACAGCTTTAGACCCAAATAATAATATAATGACCAACTTTATTTTGTCAGCTCAGGAAGCTGCTCCAAGCCAGGCTGAAGAGGCGAATGATTAGGCTAACATTACAACAATTACAACTAACATCACTATCCAAGAGGTTGCTAGCATCAGTAAAAAAAAAGTAAGCAGCTCTGCACTTAGGCACAGCGGTGCTTGGAGCCAAATGAGCTAAATGCTAACATCAAAATACTAACATGCAGATTTGTTCAGCATCTTAGTTGCTTACATTTGCTAATTAGCACTAAACATGAAGTACAGCTAAAGCTTACGGGCACCATTGATAGCAATCCATCCAATAATTGTTGTGAAATTTCACTCAAAACCACAAATGTCAACCTTGTGGTGCACTAGAGAAAAAGTCAGGGGATCACTTAAGGGTTCGTCCTCTGGGCACCGTGATGTTCCAGATTTCAACGTAAACCATCAAACAGCTGTTGAGCTATTTTAGTCTGGACCAAAGTGCTGGACCCACAGGCCGACATTGCCATAGAGCCACAAAAGGTGATATTATATTGCTGTTGATGATGCATGTGATAACACCAAAGCAAGGGGAAACCAATAAAACTGATTGGCATGCTTTGCAGCCCGCTCATTGATTGTTGGCAGCAGACGAATTCCCCGCTGAGCCTCTGGGCTAATCAAACTCTTCGCTTCACATATTCCACCGACTGTGTGCTGCAGCAAGGGCCGCTGTTATTGGCACTGCATCGCTAACAAACAGCTGCACTTTCTGAAGGGCAAGACTTTTGTCTCTGCTGGAAGAAGCAAATGTTTACTCATAAAACTCACACTTTCATACAGAACAAGAAGGAAAGCCAACAAACTGTTGGGGGAAAAACAGCTCTGTTGGCATGGTAAATTGAAACTATGTTTAGATTTAGAAAGGAATTAAATATTAATTAGAGGGTAGAATTAAAACCCCATCTTAAGCGTATTAACATTTCCGCAGACACCTTTGAAAGTGCCATAAAAGCTGTTATTAGTTTTCCAGTAGCAATCTGCAGTGTACTAAAATATAAGTCCTTCGATTATCAGTATTTTGTAATGAGTTATATTTTCTCATAGTGTAATACCTTGCAGCTTCAATGGAGCAATGAAATCCATTGTTACACTAAAAACAGGTCTGCAGTTCTGTGCTGAATATGGAAGTGTAGCTGCTCTTGTCCAGTATGTTAAAAACTGTAAACCACAAGTGTTTCGACTAATGAGTGCTTAATGAAATATTTAACAGGCTATTAAAATATGTGGTATGCAATATGTCACAAAATGTTGCCCATCAAGGACCCACAATGCTCATTTAGTCCACTGATAAGTTTGATGAACTCTGACGCTGTCCATGGTCCTGAGCGCTGCACCATAAATTCCACGCCACCGGGGGTCAGTAGGGTGCTTGGCACTGACAGCACAAGAGCCACAGCGAGCAATTGAGAAGCGATGGATAACATGAATATAATGTGTCATTGAGTCATTAATCAAATCAATCCCCGGGTGGATGATTTGCACAGAATGAATGTAATATATTGAGCTTGACAAAGACGGAGCTGGATGGAACACTTGCTCAAAATCATCAATTACAGTCCGTGCGGCTTGGAAGTGACCCAAGAACAGAGTGCACCTCTTCAGTCAGCAGCGTTCACACGCACAAAAGGGGGAAACATTTACCAGTTGCACCATCATGCTGCAGGAATAATTCACTTATTGATGAGTTTTCAGAGCAAGTCACACATACAGATGCGGTCTTAGATTTTCCTTTATTAAACAGTTCAATAGTCACATAGTGTGTTTGAGTTATATATGAGCTCAATGGGGAAGCAAGGGACATCCAGATAGTATACTGACTTGTGCCATATGATAGAGACTATACAGTATTATTACACAGGAGAAAAAAGAATAAAAGGTTTATTTAACCTTTATTGAACCAGGGAAGACCCATTGAGACAGAGATCTTATTTTCAGTGGTGTCCTGGTTACATAACATACACACAATAATTTTAAAATGACAAGACAATAAAATGAAAAAATCATAAACATCTACCATCGATCCATCGTCATTTCATACATAAAACAAAACAAAAACACAATACAGCCATCAGGACTTAATTGTAACATAGATATAGATAGATAGATTTTACATGAAGGGGTCAGTACTACTCAGCCTGTTAAAACAGTTGTATAATGTGGTCTATGACTCTGGAGGAGCTTTCTAAAGCCTCAAGAAAATAACCCTGATGATGTCATAGTGACGTCATCAGGGTTATCTTGATTTGGGCTTGAGACTTCAAATATTTGATAAAAAGCCTGTGTTGTAAATGAGTTTGAAAAATGTGTTCATTTACCAGCAGGAAAGGCCTAATGAAAGATACTATTGAGTTGTATTCTGGGAATTGGAGGAACCAGCCCTTTTGAAGCTTGACCTATATACTAGAGACAAAAAGTTAGGATTTCTCAGCCTCTGCTACACCAACTTCTACCATTCTTATTTTCACTCTTTCTCACTGAAGTCCCCAAACTTTATTGATGTGTAATATATATATAAAAAAACCACAAAGTCAGCTTTATGACCATTAAACGTGAATTAATACAATATTTACTATTACTGTTGTCACTTAATCTCCAAAATGTCAGGCACAAATTTTACACTGGATGATTTGAGTTTATGTTATTGAAGAGGTTTCATTAACCCAGGGGTCAACAAATTTCCATATCCTACAGCTTCCTTTAATTGAAGTTAGAATTAAAAATAGCCAGTTTGGAGGCTTTCACCTCAGTGACAATTTGTAGCTGAATAGTGGTAAATTAATACATTTCAGCTAATAATTGAATCCTCCTTCTCTGTACTGTGGGTGACATTGCTAGCATACGTACGCTTTATGTAATTGCTTCATGGGGTGAGTGCACCATTGGACAGCAACCTTGTGTTGGAGAATGAGTGAGAGTGATCCTTTGTTGTGTACGTCTACTTCCTTCCTCTTACTTTTGTCCTTCTCTGACTCAGTGGCATTTGCACAAGCAACTTTAATTTTGCAGTAGCTAACATCTGTGAATAGCTCTCAGAAAACGGAGTCATGCCCTACGCACAGAGCTGCCTTCCCATAATCACGCAGGTCAACCTCAGAGACAGTGGAACGATAAAGACATGTTTCTCAAGCAGCACATTCCTTTGCTAAATTAACTGGGTAGATGGCAGATATTTGGATTTTGAAAGAAGTAAAGACGGTAAACCTGAGATGAATGAATCTGTCGACACAATGAGAGTGTATAAGAGTGCACATTGAAAGGTCTTTACTCTGTTTCTCTTCGCCCTACACTCTCTCACCTCTGTAGTAAAAGAGTCTTCACTAACCGACAGATACTCAGAACAGAGAAAGTGTGTATTGATTCACCAGC